GCCTGTTCGCCGGCCGCCGCGTCCTGCACGTCGGCTGCCCGCGGTCCCAGGGCGGGCGGCCGGTGGTCACGCCCCGTGTCTTGCAGGGCTGGCCATCAGGTGGGTGGACTGCTACTTCCCCTTCACGCACCCGTCCTTCGAGATGGAGATCAACTTCCGCGGGGAGTGGCTGGAGGTGCTGGGCTGCGGCGTGATGGAGCAACGGCTGCTGGACTCAGGTAGTTACCTGCTGCCCGCAGTCCGGAGTCCGGCTGCCCGCCTTCCCGCAGGGCCCGCCCCGCCGCACAGCGTCCCTGGAGCCGCCCGTCCTCCCTCCCCGCATCGGCGGCGGCTCCGGGAGGCCCCTGCTCACCCCCATGGCCTATGGTCTCCCACCCTCCTGTGGACGGGCGGCCCCATACAGGCCAGGCCGCGGCTGGGCGGAGGGACCGACCACCGAGAACAGGGCCACTTGCTGCAGGGGTCGCAGCCGCAGGGGCTGGCGGGGGCTGTGCTGCTGCGCCTGTGACCCCAGACGCACCAGCTGTGCGGGTCAGTAGGCCCGGCTCCCGCGGGGCGGCCGGCCTTGGCCTGCGAGGGAACCTCATGGCTGGGCTCAGTCAGGCCTGTGCAGGGCGCCTGGCCGCCGGTGCCCACAGTCCTGGGCTCTGTCTCCCTGGCCCCGCCTGCACCCCGCCCGCGCCCCGCCCCGCTCTCCTGCTGGTCCGCTGGGCCCGCTGGGCGGGAGCGCAGGCGCCAGACGGTTCTCGCGAGCTGGCGGGTTAGTGCGGTGGCGGCTGTGTACACAGCGCAGCAAACGCGCAGCGCCCCGTGAGCATTCAATTAGCGGTCTCGGGGCGCCTCTCCTGCGCGTACTGCGGGCTCCAGTGAGGCGCGGCGATCCGCCATGCAGTCAGGGCTCCTCGCACCCCAGCATCGGTGGGGTCTGTGGGGGCGGGGCGGGGCGCCAGGAAGGAGCCTTCTGGCTGGCTGAGGACGTGGGTGGACCCCGGAGTCTCCGAGAACCGCGCGGTCACCTCACACCCTGATCCCGGCAGGGGCGCCCACTCCAGGCTGCGCCTTGCGATCTTTAAAGTCCTGAGTTCTGGGAAGGGAGGGGCTGGGGCGGCGAGAGGGGGTCGCTGCAGGGAGAGGGTCCTGGCAAGGGGCTCTGGGCAAAGAGGTGTCTCAGCAGGGTGTCTGGGCAGGGCGGGGTTCTTGGCAAGGGGCCCAGACGGGAGGGGGTCTTGTCAGGGGGGTCTGGGCAAGGAGTGTCTAGGCAGGGGGTTCTGGGCGGGAGGGTGTCCGGGCGGGGCGGGGGTCTTGGCAAGGGGGTCGGGACGGGAGTGGGTCTTGGCAGGGGTTCTGGGCAGGGAGGGCGGTCCCGGCTGTGCGTGTGTGAGGCCTGCGTGCTGGGTCAGCTGGGTGTGGGCTGGGGGCGCGGGCTGGGGGTGCTGGCAGGGCGGGCTGGAGGGCCGCCTTCCTGGCCAGCCTCGCTGTCTCAGCAGAGCGGGTCAGCGCCTGCCCTGCCCCTGTCCCACTGGGGAGGGCAAACCGCTGTGGAATTCAGCTGCCAGCCGGGTGTTGCCCTTTGGAAACGCCCCACAGCCGTTTGCTTTGGAGCGCCCGGGCCTCCCTGGGCCTCCGGTTGTCCTCCCCCGCTGGCGCCCCGCCCAGGGGCGCTGTGTGCTGCCGGCCCCGGTCCCGCCACTGGGGGCGCTGGGAGCCGCGCCGCAGACCCCAGCCCTCTTCTCCCGGCGGCGCTGGCCGCGGTTCTGACCTCTGGCTGTGGCGCGGGCGCTGCCTGACGCCTCCCGCTGAACGGACCTGGCCGCCCCTTCCCTCTGCCCCAGCTGTGGCCACGGGGCGCCTGCGTCCAGGTGTCAGCCTGTGGTGCCAGCCCCGTCCCTGGACCCACCCCCGGGGGACGGCCGCAGCCCTGTGTCCCCCGGTGCCCCACACAGCACACCCCCCGCGGTGGGGCTCCCCTGCCACACTCGGAGCCCTGCACCCCTCCGCACCGGCCCCCCTCCCCGCGCTGTGTGCCGGCCGCCCCGTCTGTCCCGACGGCGCCGTGCAGCTTTCTGAGTTTGAGCCTTTGCTGAAGACCCCGGAGGCGCCGGGGCGACTCTGCCTCTCGGCACCAAGGAGCCCCTGGGGGTGCGAGCCCCTCTGCCGAGGGGAGCCGAGCACGTCTCAGGCCTGGGGGCAGCGTGGGGCGCCCCTCCGCCTCTGTGCTGCAGGGCCCCTGCCCTGTGTGGCTCTGCAGGCGCCGGTGGCCGACAGAAGCCGGTGGGGGCAGGGGTCCACCTGGATGGGCACAGCTGCCCACCTGCCGGCCGCGTGCTCCTGGGGGCTCTAAGGCCGGCCAGTCTCTTCCTTCGTGAAGGGGCGCGGCCAGCGCTCTGGTCCAGCTGACACCGGCCGCCATGTCCACTCTGCGCGGCCGTGCAGACAGGTGTGCCTGGTCCCCTGAGAGCTCCCCTGTGTCCCCCCAGGGGTGGACCCCCGCTGGGTTGACGTGAGAGCGGCCGGATGGGGGGCACAGGGGTCCCAAATCCAGCTGTCTGCCCTGCGCTGGCAGCCCCACCTGCTCCTGCAGGGCACGGACAGGTCAGCGAGGACAGACCTCACCGCCCGCCCCATTCCCCTGGACCTGGGGCCCTTGTGGCGCGGCCCCTGGGGGCCTCTGGGGGCTCCTGGGGTGTTTGCCAGGCCCTGGGGTGGGGCCTGGGGCTTTTGTGTGGCTTCCAGAGCCCTGACAGCAGGGCCGGGTTTCACTTATTTATTTCTTAATCCCCTGAAGCCCTGGTCCCTGGAGCGATGAATATTTAATGACCCGAGTGAACGGGATTGGATTCTTGGCCAGCTGAGTGCTTGAGGGGGAGGTGGTGTGGCTGTCCTGTTCTCCGGGAGACACCGAGTCTGGAGCCTGGCTGCTGAGTGGCGGTGTCTCACCGAGGCCCTGGTGGGGAGGCGGCGAGGCAGCCATGAGCAGCGAGGGCGTCGGTGTCCTGGCGGGGTCCAGTCTGTCTTCCCTGCATGTTTCCCGCTCTCACGCTCAGCCCTGTTGCGCAAGTCACGCTGTTTGCCGGACCTGGGCTGAGTGGGCTGCCTGGGGCTGCCCGGGGGTCAGCAGGGCCCGGAGGGGCGGGAGCGCCTGTCCGTTGTGAGGGCCGGCCTCGGTGGCCCGGAGTGGCCTGTGTGTGCCCGCGCAGTGGCCCCTCCCGCCCTGCCACCCGCCTCTCCCTGCCCAGTCCTGGTCAGCATCGGGTGAGGGGGCCGCTCTGGCTGCGGGTGGCCGAGCCCAGGGAGGCTCCTGCTGGCCGGCCAGGCCCGTACCCCTGCAAAATGGGCCCGCAGGTCGGCGCCTCCCAGCACTGCAAAGTTTGTGTGTTTTGGGCAACTGACCCTTGGGTACCCCGAGACACACGGACGTGGGAATCTCATTGGCCCTCAGCTCAGAGTCCCGGCATGCCGGCGCCCGTCTCGGAGGCCTGCAGGTGAGCCCCGAAACTGTGCAGGTTACTTTTTCTCTGGAAACCAGTGGGCGGCTTTCTGCTGCCCGCTTCACCCCACCGGGGTGTTCCCTTTACTTGTTGGTTTTTAAAGATTTCCTTTATTGTGCACACAAAAGCTGGGGTGCAGGCCAGAGGTGAGGGGGTGAGGACACGCCCCCGAGACAGGCGGGTCCCCTGAGACCCACGGCTGAGGGGCAGCGGGAGACGGGGGTCTGCTGCGCCCTGGGGTCACTCCCTGGTCGGGGGGACAGCCCACAGGCTGGGATTGAGCCCCGCGCCCCCGAGACCGATGTCCCCATGGCCCTGGCTTCCTGCGTGGCCCCAGCGGCGGTTTCACTGGGCTCTGACCTCGTGCGAGGCCCACGGGCCCGCCACGTTTGCAGACACAGCCTGGGAAGCGCCCGGTGATGGGCCCTGGGTGCCGGACGGGGCGGCCTCCCACCGAGGCCTCCCAGGGGTCGCTCTCCCCTGAGGCTTGTTCCGAGCCCCGCTGCCGTGCAAGCCGAGTGAGCCGGCCACCACCGCCCATGCTGGCACCCCAGGGACCCCCGACCGGCTGTCTGGCCGGGTCGCCGCACGGAGCAGGCGGCCACCGCGGCCGCTGTGCTGGACGGGGCTTGTCGGCCGCAGGCCCATGACTGACGTCCCTGCGGCGGCATCCAACGGGAGCGAGGACCTCCAGGCGCCACTGTGCGGCGTCAGCACGAGTGTGGCTCGAGGGCTCACGGAACACGTGCACTCAGTGGACGGCCGGAAGTCGTTTCCCTGGGTGTCCGCTGTCCTCTGCATCCGTTTTCACCCTTCTCGAGCAGAATGTTGGCCCACAGGCGGCCTCGGGCGCCGGCCCTCGCCAGCCCGAGGGCTGGAGCCTCGAGGCAGTGGGCCAGGCGGATGCCCTCTGGGCCCAGGGGCGTCGGGGCAGGTGAGTGGCCCGCTGCCCGCTGCTCCTGCCAGCCAGAGCCTGGTGGCGGGGTGCCGGTTGGCGGCGGGCGCCCAGCCTGCTCCGGCCCTGGGATGTCTTTGGCGGCAGTGGGGGCGCTGGTGCCTGGGCGGCGGGGCTGGTGCTTGGGGGGGGCTGTGGGGGCAGCAGGGAGGGGCGCAGATGGCGGCGGGGAGGAGTGCGAGAGCCCCCAGTGTTAATTAAGCCTCGGCCTGCACAGATGGGCTGGCGGCTCCTCGGGGCCTCCTAATCCGTGGCTCTGGGGCTGCCCTGGGCTGTCAGGACCGTCGGTGTCTATGACGGGGCGTCCCACACCCAACACCCCCTCCTTTGCCGGGGGCACAGTGCCCGGACAGCCCGGGGGCTCCGGGACCCCCCACCCCCTTCTGGGCCCCAGCCGGTGGCCTGACGACACACAGCGGCCCTCTGGAGTGGAGGGTGCAGGGCCCCGCCCGCGGCCCTGGCGCCTGCTGCGTGCCTGGAGTGGGGGCACGGCAGCGCGGGAGGTGCCAGCCGGCCCAGCTGAGCACCTGCGTTGCCATGGCGACGCGGGCCGCGGGGGGGGGGGTGGGGGGGCGGGGGGGGGGTTGCTGGGGCGGCCACGCCCCTCGCGAGGTCCCGGCACCAGCCTGCCGGCGCCTGCTGACGGGCAGGGGGCGGCGCCGCCACCAGGCCTGCGGCCCCTGGGACGTGTCCGCAGCATATGTGAGGCTGCTAATGATTGAAAAATTACCACCACGATTAGTCACGGGCCGCCGGCCGCTGCCCCGCGCGCGCACGCCGTGATTAAAGCCGTGTATGTGACAACGACCCCCTGCGGGCCGCGCCGGCGGGCGGCAGCTGGCGCCGCGGCTTTAATCTGGTCCCGAATTAATCTCAGGTTGATTAATCCCGGTTTTATTGCGCCGGTCCTCCGCCCCTTCCGTGTGGACGGCCCCTTAATTGCGCGGAGGCACGCGCGCCCCGCCCCGCGCTGCCTGAGTGTCAGGCGGGGTCTCCAGTTAATGCGGCGGCGCGGCCGGCGGGCGGTCCCGCTGGACCACGGCTGAGCGGCCCCGAGTAAACATT